CGCCACCACCAAAACCCTGCGCCACGTCAGGATAGCAGCCAGAGCCCACGTGCGCCAGGTCAGGATAGGAGCCAGCTTCCAGTTCCCTGCCTCCAGTTCCCTGCTTCCAGTTCCCTGCCTCAAGGTCCCGGGAGCCAGTTCCCTGCGTCCAGTGTCCTCTGCCCAGTTCACTGCTCAGGTGCCCTGTTTCGCATTTCCCCTGTCGCCAGTTCCATTCCGCCAGTTTCCTGCCACTGACCGACTCACAGTAAAACAGTCCCCAAAATTCGCCCACGCCACACATCGCATTTCCTCCTCCTCCAGTTCACTTTTACACGTTCCCTGCCTCAAATTTCCTTTCCCCCCGTCCACTGCCTCAACGTCTCTTTTCGCATTTCTCTGCCTGACAGACCTTCACTTGACTAACAATGTAACACGTGTTTCAAAAAAAACAATCCTCGCAGAAACCATAATTTTTCCCTCTGCCACTTTCACTTGCTTTCAATATGTCCAAAGAACTCCAGACAACCCGCTTCCACCTTCTCTGTGCACTGTTGCATGCGCGAGTTGATCTAAAATTCCTTTCTCCGCGCTCGATCCTTTTCGCCACAATAAAATTATTTACCCAACCTTTCGCCTTCCTGCGTTCTATCTTTCGCCGCAGTATGTTGCTCTTATGTGTGCCATGTGTGTGTTGTGGTTGTGTTCACGTCACTCCTTCTTTCTTTACTGGCAAACACGAAATATTAGAACTTCACAGTCTGTCAGCATGTGTCTTCTACTTAGCTGTTGACACCCTGTGCGTCTGTTTTGTTTCTCTTGGGAGTCAGCAAGAATCAAACACGCGAAATCACAGTAGCAGCCAGTCACTCGAACTTACTCATAATGGGCTAGGGGCCGAATGTGGCAGGGTCAACTTTCACCGATCTTGAGCTGAACTTTCGCCAAAATTTCGCCTTTTGCGGGGTCCAGTTCTGTGGCCAAGCCACCCCGACCCAAAACAGGAACAAGAAAAGTAGTCGTCTCTCTCTGCCCATTCCCCCTCGACCATCGCGCCTATGTCTGACCCCCTTCCCATGCCTCCTCCACTCCTACACGCGGCGACCGAACCAGACGCTGCGCCCTCCCTGCTTTCTTCATAGCCCTGCCCCTGCCTCGCCACAGCGACCGAAACAGACGCTGGGCCCTGTGCCTTCCCCTTTCCCTCTCCTCCTCCCGCTTGCATACGCGACCGCCCCTGTCCCTCCCCCTTTCTCCGCCCTTCTCCCACTCCACACCAACGACCAAACCTGACCCCGTCCCTGCCTCCTCCCCTCATACACGCGGCGACCGAACCAGACGCCACGCCCCCCATGCTAGCTTTCCTCCTCGACCTCCCTGCCTCGCCACAGCGACCGAAACAGACGCTTAACCTGTCCCCTCCTCCTTTCCTTCTCCTCCCCCCGCTCGCCTCTCCATATCCCTCCCCGCCCTGCCTCCCCTCGACAACAATCTAGACGCGGC